TCCAGTGAGCAACTCATTGATACTCAAGTATTGGTTTGTAGGGACGAAACAGCTGTCCAGTACTCCCAGGTTTTCCAATGGTTCTCTAACCAATGTCAGCTCATGATTAAATTTAGTCCTTTCTCAACAAACTGGAGCATTTTCCCTTAGAATAAGCCTTCATTTTGTCGTTAACTGTGGCTTCTATTCGTACAACTATTAAGACTGTGTCAAAGCACAGTAAACGAAAGGATAGCATAAATACAACCTGACAGTATAAACCTTAAGAGAAACTAAACATTTATTTTTCCCCTGACGCATAAGACGTTACAGACTACTGATACGATGCAGTTTGTAAACATAGTCATCTGAATACTTCAATTTGTCATAATTTACACGTTTCTTTTATTTTCTTGAGATGTTTGCAATATTGTGAACTGATTTAAGTTGACCTGAACTGAAATCTGACCGCGTCAATTAAAATGTCAATTAAAAATTATGTAAAAGGTTAACTACCTCATGACCTGAATTCTATTACAGCTGAACAGATACTACTTTTATGTGAAGGCAAAAGCCTATTTAAAATTTCATGAGTTAACTTTAAATTGAAAATAAAGTTGACGTGATAATCATAGTAGGACAGTCTATATTTGTTACCCTTTCGTGTTACATTGTCTTCCCAAGAAAAAGAAAAGTGTAATAATGAAATTTAAAAAGAAAGAATCCACTTGTCATGATGACTAGTTTATTCGCATAACAAGTTGTTTTAATCATGGAATTCAGCGTTTTTGATGCGTGTTGGGCAGTTTTTTCTCTCTCCATCTATGAATTTTATTACTCTGTAAGCAGCACGTAAATGACCCATAGCTGTCAGGCTGATGAAAGTATATGCATAATTTGAAGACGAAGCAGTAAAGTGAACCTACCCTATATCATCATCAAAACATCTCATAAAATCAAATTTAATGACATTCTACTGTTAAAGCAACATTTCATATGTTCTCCTAGTTTCATAGAAATATGTGGAATATGCCATCTTTATTATTATTTTAAATAAAAATAAAGGCGAATGGAGAACAGTAAAGCTAGAAACAAGTTGTGTCTTTTTTTTTTACAAGAATTGAATACATAATCAATCTAGTGTTAATTTTATTACTGATTGAAACAGTGTACGTGCTTATATGAAAGTTGGACAAGTCAACTAAAGAAGGTAAAGTTGCGGTGTAAACACAGGAGTTATTTGATTTCACTCAAAGCCTTCCTACTCTTTTTGTTAAACAAGTAACTCAAAGATGAATGTTTATGACACAGATTATTAATTTGTTTGAATAGATTGACTTCTTCCAGAGTAACTGATACGTGTGTTCATCATTTGCTCGTTTTGTTAACTTCAAGCCAAGTTAAGCATTGATATCATTGTTATCGTGATGAAGATTCCTGGACAACACCACCAACAGCAACAACAACAGACAACAATCAGCATAAATGGAAGGAGCCTGAAAGAAACAACCTCCTTTACCTACCTACCTACCTACCTACCTGGGAAGCATCGTTTCAACTACAGGCGAATGGAACTGACGAGGATATCAAAGCAAGAATCGGAAAAGCAAGACAAGCTTTCACTACTCTCAAGTCTGTGTGGAGGTCAACAGCACTCACCATCAAAAATAAGATCCGGATTTTCAACTCCAATGTGAAGTCAGTCAGTGCTACCTACTGTACGGATCAGAGACTTGCACTGCGCGTCATAACGATCATCTCAAACAAACTACAGACCTTCATTAACAGTTGTCTTTGCTCAATATTCAAGATCAGATGGCCGGTCAGAAAAGATCAGCAACAGAGATGTCTGGCAATGAGCGAACCAACACAGCAGGAACCAACCGATTGTGAAACAAATAGGCAGGAAGAAATGGAGATGGATTGGCTGTCAAACTCTGAGGAAACCATCAAGTGACATCACTAGACAAGCCATTGCTCGAGTGGAACCCAGCCGAAAGGGAAGCGGCGAGTTGGT